TCTCTCAAAATGTGTGTCATACTTGAAATTATGGAATAGTTGCAAGAGAATGGATCCTTTTAATATTCTATACCTTAAAAAACTAAAATATTAATCTTTTTGGTAGCAATTTGGTAAAAGTTTCTTTTATTTGAAATTATAAATACATTGTCATCCAACCATTGATCAAAATGAAAGAACAGAAAATAATTGGATGGTGGTTAAATGAGGATTCAAAAATTGATTGGTTTAGAGCTTCTATGTGAAGTGCACATCATTCATTCCTTATCTTAGGCTATGTACACACTAGAGAAATAAGACAGTTTTATTCCTGTTTTAAATTGGTACCCATGCATACTACCCAGTGAAAAATATTTCTAAAAATAACGGAAGAGAAAGCATTCATAAAAATGCAGAGACTTGTATTTTACATGAAGAATGTGTTCTACAGCTTAGCGAACGTTTTCACAAACAAAAAGAAAAGTTCTGAGTCTAAAGGAACTCATTCTTTACTGTTCCACACTAGTACGAAACGCTTTCTTCTCAGTTCAAAAATCGTTCTCTAGCTGGATAGAAAGCGTTCTGAACCGTTCCATGAGCCAATAGAACGTGTCTCTGTTCATTCTATTTCGAAACAGTCAAGATAGGATTCCATCGAAATGAGACCGCTTTTTTTAACATTTTCTTGAGAAACACCTGAGAATGGATTCTTTTGACTGATGAACGCTTTCATCTGAATTTAACGTCACTTTTGATTCCAAAATGACAGCTCTAAAGTACGACACCCTGCAACTGGTGCCAAAAATGATGGAACCTTCAATTAGTCATACTTTACAACTGGCAGTCCTGATTCCAAAAAAATTTTTTTAATAACAGTTTGAGTTATGAAAAATTAGAGCACGCCATTGGACAGAGCTCGTCGAGTTGCACCAGAATTGATCTTTCAAAAAATTATGTCTGAACTTCTCTTCGAGAACTCTTATAGTGAATCTAAATTCAGGCACTAACGACCAAGAATGCGTTCCAAAAACAGTCAGCTTTTTTTGAGAAAAGAAAACGTTCCAAAAAAGCTGGAACAGTTAAGAACGCATGGTAAAAAACATGGAGTGTTTTCTTAATGGTTTCATTTTGGAACGCTTTACACTTTTGTTGGAACGTCTTCTTGTCTTAAAAAAAGGGCTTTTAATTTTACGGAACGCGTTCTTTCCCATTCTTTGAAGCAAATATTTTT